CCGCTTGGCTACTGACCTTAAGGATTATTCTAAGAGCTCTTAAACACGTGAATCTTTCTGTGTTGAATTTTACAAAGAAAACACAGCCCAATAATTCACCTCACTTCTGTGTTTTGTTTTTTTTTTTGTTTTGTTTCTTCTGCGCCCCCCCTATGGATTACAAATGGCTGTCTGGTTGAAACGACGCGTGTGACGGGGGAAGGGGGCATCAACTTTTTTGGGGGCAAAATGAATGTACGTAGCTGAAAACAGACACCAACATCGGTAGCCTACAAGCTACTTGTTAAGCTTAAGGTTCTGTATTGACATTAGCTAGTCATCTTTTAGCTAACATTACCTGCATCCAACAGCTTTACTCAACTCAGTCGGTTAGTTTGGAGGGAAAAACTGTGAAAAGTTCTTTGTGTTTTGCTGGTTTGCTGCCATGATTCTAACACAAACCTACGTAGCTCCGCACTGCAGCAGCAGGTCTCCTTCACAGGTGTAAACTCAGCGCGAGCGTCGTAGCGCTCATGTTGCTTTTAAAGGCGGCTCGGAAAAACAGGTTACAACATGTTAACAACGGATTAAACAGTTTTAACTGATAAAAGTGACAGAGGACACAAATATGGGAAGTGTGGAAGCCTCTACTGTATCAAATTTACAGAGGAATAACAGAGAGTTGGCCATTCTAAGGTAAAAACCCAGCGCATACAGTGTTCATGTTTTGTTTTTGTTTTTTTTCACCCAGACGGCTCCCCCCCCCCCCTGCAATGACACGGCGCCCCCCCTAGGGGGCGCGCCCCACAGTTTGAGAACCTCTGCTCTACACTGACCTGGAATTACACAAATTAGATTTAATGCCTGACTTTTCTGCTTCTAAATCCCAGTTTGTGTAATGCCAAAATCATTTAAACTCAGCCAGCCCTTTCTTGGCAGAGGCAAAACAAGTCAATTGATTTAATAATGAATTTGTTTGCTTTATGTACTTAATCACCCTGTTTTTCCAGATGTCTTTGGGATAAAATAAAACAAGCAGGTTGTTCGCATCTCCCAGGGTAATAAACACCGTCGCTGCAGCTGTTTTATTTGTGCGACGTCCCAGACAGGCCGCTCATAATTTGCGGGGATGAGCCAGAGACATCAGAGTGAGGCACAGCTGCTGCAGCCAGTTTGAAACCACATGTGGGCTTCGAGAAAGATGCTTTACTCATAAGTAACAGTCAGAAACATCAGCAGGGTTCCCCCAAAAAGCTAGAACCAGTGGTAAAGCAAAGATACTTAAACCACAATTTGGCTGTGACTCCCTCACATATCTTGTCTTCTGCAGCTGCAGTTAAGACTTCACCAGCCATCCTGTTGGAACTGTGGTCATTCAATTTTTGTTAATAATATATATTTTTTTTAATATTTGTTTAAACTGTGACTATGTTGGGACAGCATGGTAGGAAAAAATCTGCGAAAAAAAACGTAGCTTCTCTACCCGCTTTTCAAGAAAGGACTTTAATGAAATGATTTCTCATTAAAGTCCTTTTCTTTAATGAAAAGAGAAGGAGTTTCTTTTCATAAGAAAAGAAAGTACTTTCTTGGTAACTTCAAACAACCAATCAGAGTCAGAATGCGGGGCTTAGAGCTGTCAATCACAATCTAGTGTGGCACTGCTAATCACTCTCGCCCTGCCATCTCTCTGCCCCCTGCTCTCTGCTATTGCTACAGCTTTTCAAATCCTGTTGTGAATGCTAAGGCTAGTTAACATAGCCACCGATGACGGCAGATAAACCATCATTAGTTTATCCACCTTCAGCACATTTAGCAGCAAGTACGTGAGATTGATTAACAGCATTAAGAACCTCCTCCTGGCTCTGTATGTGTGTTTCTATCACAACATGGTGACAGTTTCAAAAAATATGTTGAAAAATAAAAAACTTATTTTTTATGAAAATTACATGCTGCAACTTCAATGAAATTTTCATATCCCTGGAGCTTTTTTACCTTTTGGTTTTGTAGGGAATTTTCTGGGAATTTATAATTTTCTGCTGCATAATTATAAACTAGAATGAAAATGAAAAACACTGCTTTCAGGCTCTCTGCAGTTAAATATGTGATGTGTTTTTATTCAATCCCCTCAGTCAGTAATTAGTCGAAACACGATTCACTGAAATTACAACCGTTTCAGGGTACGAACTCCTGCCTGGATCTATGGAAACAACCCTTCTCAAGAGTCGCAATAACTTTTACATTATCTGAATGTCCCTAATCAAGCATGTTACTCACCTACTCTGTTTAACAAGGCACTTGGATGCACTGTATGGAGATAAGGTAAGACGATGCTTGCAGCTTGATAATTTAGACAATGTTCTGCTGAGAAACCCGAGGCTCTGCTTTTTAGATGGACGCTAACAATGTCAAGTAGCTCTTAACTTTACAGAGACTGTATTCCCTGATGGCAGGAAGCTCCGTCAGCAGAATAAAACTCTCTTGTTGAGGAAGGAGTGGAGATCAACTCGTTCAATGTGATCTTTTATTATTCCAGGGTTTAATCCAGGGAAGCATTTTTAGGATCTGCTAAGCGGATGGACAGATCTACTTTTGCCTAGACATGAAACAGAACTTCTTGGTTTGAATGCCTTCCCCAAAGTAAAGACTAGTTTGTGTGTATGAGAGTTAATTAGGTTTAATGTTGATTTGAAAAGATTTGCGAACATCTCAGCAGTGTGTGACGTTGTGACAGAGCGGATGTTATATGTTGTTCCTCGATGTGTTAGGTACGATCCATTGGTGTTTGGTCTTTTTGTTTCACTTATGTCCATATTTTAATCAAAAGTTTTTTTCATTATGGGAAATGTTAGTGTACCCCAGGTATCAGTAAAGTTAGTCTGATTGTATTTTGGATTTGTTTGTTTATATTAGCATTTCTTTCTCTTTACTGGTTCATTAGATCAGGTTTCATTTCACCTTTGCATCCTGCTGGATTGGCTTATTTTTCACCTCAGCCGTGTCATCCCGCTTCTCCACATTCGCTACCATTTTGTATGTTTTTTCTTCGATTGTAAAATCTATGACCATTCCTGTCTGCGTTTTGATTTTGATTTGGTTCGACTCCTGGAATTTCCTACATTTCTTCCTCTCTTCTATGGATGCAGCCATATAAAAATTTAGGTCGATATTGATATGTGATTTTAATATTGCTGTTACGGCCGATAACCAATATTCACCATTATTGTATATATTTCTACCCTTTGTGGAAAAAACAAGCACACCGCTGTCTTCACCATTGCTTTTCTGATTCAGTTAAACTACCCACAATCCTGTGCTGCATCACTTTAGTTTTCACTTTCACTGTCCACACCAAGGTGGTAAAATATATCAGTTGTTAACATTTGCCCAAATGTATCTTCTCTTTGCCTGTTTTCTGTCTGAAACACCAAAAAAAGGGCCACTAATGCCACAAAAATCTTAAATACTTATTTGGCTGAGATTCCTTTGTAATTAATCATAAATGATTATACTGACACAGACAGGTGAAGGATACACCTCTGCTCACTGATGCAGCAGACAGTGGCTCTGAATGGATGATATTTCATCGTTTATTCATGATTGTATCGATTGTTTCAAGACGCTCTTAGACTGGAGGCTTGAAATACGAGCTGGTTGTGTGTAAGTGCTGCCCTCCCTCTTCTGCTCCTCCTCCCTTCGTCCACAACCAGCTAAGCTTGACGCCTTCATAAAGACACGCTGTATAAATCCTCTAGTGTTCATTAAACTACAGGCAGCACAGCTGTGTTTTGACAGGTAGGGTTGTTGAATGTAGAGGGTCTACTGGCGTCTGTGAAGATGTCTTTACTCCCATCTGTAAACAGGGCTAAAAACCTGCAGGGTCGTGTCTGCATCAACTGTCATTATTTATTGTCAAATATGCAATGAGTTACACGTTCCGAATCCCTAGGCTCATTTTATCAAGTTGCTATCCGGAAATAATCTAGGAGGAGCGGCTCAGGTGGGAGAATCTGTCAACAGGACAACTATGCAGCAAAATTGAGGCCATAAAATTTGTTTAAAGAAGCCGCATTATGTGTTTTCCAGCCACATAGTGGCATTTTACAGCACAATCAAGCAACTATGTTAGATTGAGTTGTTATATTGAACCTCTGTCTCTTTAAGAAACTTCTGGCCTTTCAACATTACGCCTTTATGAACTCATCACAACATTTCTCCTCTATTAACCCTTTAACAATGTTTTTAACAGCGTTGCGTTGAAAAGTAGCTCCTATAATGAGCTCAGCAGATCTGTAATTCCACCAGGTGTTTGCTAATTGCTGCTGGCTAGTCTGAAGGAGCAGAGTGGGGGATTCGCAGAGGAGGGCTGCTCTGTGAGGCAGAAGATTGGAAGCTTTGAGGATGAGCTTCATCTTTCTACCGCTCAATGGTTGCCATGGGAGATTCAAAGATTTCTCAAACAAGCACGAAAGAATCAAAAACTCCATGTACATTTTTGATGCCCCTTTAAAATATTTTTAGTGTCAGTTTTTCTTTAAACTGAAAAAAATTTAAACTAAATGGAATTTTGAACCTTAAGAGACATAAGATTTACCAGAAAAGTAAAAGAATACAAACCTTTTTTTTCTTCCTTTTTTATTTTTATTTTTCTCTTTTAAAATACATTTCCAATTCCTTAATGCAACAGCGGGAAAAGTTTTGTCCAGCCCCTGTGGTGTGTTGATTCCACGCCACACTTTTCAGGTTGTTAGACGTTAAACTTTTTGAAAACAATACCCAATTTTTTTCCTACTTTGCAATTTCTTTAACTACTTTTGTTGGTTTCTCATAAAAAAAGTCCTAATAAAATGTAATTATAGTGTGTGCCTAAAACGACGGAAAATTAAGTCCAAGTGGTGTGAATACTTTTGCGGCATATTAGATTTGGCAGTGTGTTCATTAAGTGTCACCCGTCTTCCCAAGAATAATAGTATCAGTAATATTGCTACTACTAATAAAACAATATTTTTGCATTTTCCTCTCACCTGAATTCTGGCGCAGAGTTGCTTTTCAGTCCATAAAACCTAGCAGACAAGGTGAGCAGCCAGTACGGAACGAAAGCCCCGTGCTCACACTCCAGGTACGGTGCGGACCATTTGATCTGGCTCTTGTCCAGAAGGTGACTCCCGCCGCCGGAGCCCGAGCCTTCGGGGACGCCCCTATGCGCCTGGGGTCTCCTCTCGTCCCTCAAGTCGTGGAACCAGTCGGTCTCCGGGCTCCTGTTCTTCAGGCGGCGGTGCGCGGACCCGGAGAGGTCCTGCAGCACCACCTCATTTCCGGTCCTGGTCGCCTGGAGGAAAACGTGTGGGCCGGGGGTCGTCAGCGGGTCCGCGTGCAGGGTCACCACCGCCCGGTGGATCTTCGGGTCCCCCTCCAGGATGCTCTGAACCAGAGCGTGGTACCAGCCCGTGTCCCCGCGGAAGGTTCGCTCGCGGGACCTGTTGGTTTGCAGGATCATGTTGAGGAAGTTGGTCGCGTGCGCCACCGTGTCCAGGACGCTGTGGAGGGAGTAGTGGGAAGCGACGTGGAGGCCGCCGCGCAGGCTGCTCAGCTCATACCTCCGGGAGCAGTTGACCTGCCTCAGCGCAGAGGAGTCTCCCGTGTGCAGGAAAGCCGTCACCACCCGGGGGAGATCCTCCTCGATTTTGTGCGCGACCACCGCGCGCTCCGTCGGCTGGAGCGGGTGCGGAGTGGGACGGTGGGGCGGCTCCTTGTTGACGCTCTGCGTACTGAACGCCGCCGGCGGGTGCTTCTCGTCCCTGTCGTTATCAGACCACTCCACGTAGCCGTAGTTTGATCCCAGAACGAGCCCGGTGTGCAGAAGCAGCGCGAGGAGGATGAGAGCCATGGTGGTTCCTCACAGGCGCAGAGGGGACACCGCGGGCACCTGGCAAGCTGCGCTCATCGCCAAATCCTCTTTCTCTGCCTCTCTCTCTCTCTCTCTCTCTCTTTCGCTCGGTGTCTCTCGGTGCTGCTATTAGAAACTCTTTGTCAAACACAAACCACAGAAGGTCCTGAATTTTACAGCCATTACGTCGTCAAATACGACAGGAATCCCCATCACCACCACTTCTAATCGGGGGCTTCAAAGGAAAGCGTAGACTTTCATAAAGCGGCTGTCCGAAAAAAGAAAGGGAAAAAAAAATCCTCGGAACTCCGTTAAATCTACGAACACTTCTCCCCGGGAGAGGTGTAGTGCTGCTGCCGCTCCTGCTCTGGACTAAACAACCGTGGAAGAGAGGAGCAGCACCGAGATGTTCCCGAACTTCAGTTCCCTCCCAATAATAAAAAAAAAAAACCCACTAGGCGATGCTAAGTGTCGCCCACGGTGTGCGCGCGCGCGTGTGCCGTGTTATGTGTGTGGTTGTTTCTCAGCGCGCGTCTGCAGGGGAGGTGGGCGGGGCGTGGGAACATACTGGGAGCTGTCCGGTGCTGAGAGCAGACCGGTTCCCTGAGGGGAAAGATGAAAACAGGAGGAGGCTGTTGTTGGTGGAGAATCGGAGGCAACTAGAGACGGGAATTCATTTTCAAACTGAATGGAGTCAAGTGAGATGCTAAAAACTGTTTATTAAAATGTTGAAACAACAGTAACTCACTAGCAACACCCAGGTGAAAAGAAATGTACTGAAATCTAATATACTAAATGTATTTCAGAAATTATAGTGAAATAAATTTCAAGAGTGGTACTTTGAAGCAACTTATTTCGCACTTTAAAAAATACAATTAAAATTAAATTTAAAGGGTATTTCATTTACTTTTGTGTGCTAAAATGGAACAATTTGAAGCACACTTAAGCTTATTTTCTGCCAGAATAATATGTTACAGGATGTTATTTTAAATGAACGGTGCAATTAGTATTGCAACTATTCAGTTTCTCTTTAATTCTTGGAAAATTATTGCACAAGGTTCATGATGACCTACCCAACATGCTGCCACTATGAAAACACTGATTCACAATTATGAAAATAAAAACAAAAAAAAAACAAAAACAAATGCAGCTTCATATTTCAGCCTCGCTGTTCTCTACTGGATGCCACCTACACAATAAATGAGGAAAAACTGCTGACTTAATCAACAGCTTCAGTTAAGTCCTGAACAACACATTTAGACAAGATTTGTTACTGAGATGGATCTTAAACCTTTTTTGGAAAATACTCTTACAAACTAATATGTTTGATCAAACATTTTCATAAAAAGAAAATATTTTTTTTGTTTTTGACTCCCTCCAGAAATGTAATGTAACCCCTGGCCTACTTTATGGTGACTTTTCAAGTCTTGCTACGGATTCTCGACTAGATTTAGATCTGAACTTTGACTAGTCCATTTCACACCATGTGCTGAAAAAAGAAAACAGGTGATCCAACTTAAAAGAAAAATAGTTAATTTGTTACATGTAATCAATCAATCCCAGTAAATATATTAAGTTTATTAAGTTGTCATGTTAAACAGAACGTACAGAAACCAACTTAATTCAATTACATGTAAGAACTTAACTCTGATTTTTTTTATTTTTTTTATTTGGAGCTTCTCTTTCGATAAAACTATTGTAATTGTATCTCTAGGTACATGATTTGGACCATTGTCTTACTGGAAATTAATTCTATGCCCCAGTCTCAAGTGTTTTGTAACTTCGAACAGTTTCCCCCCCAAGTTCCCTCTGCATTCTGCTTCCAATTACTCTGAACATCTGCCTCCCTGCTAAAGAAAAATTTCCACTTGAGCTCAGTGGTGCCAACAAGAAGCCAACACAATGGGCCGGGTTTGTTTTCTGCCTCGCACAGGGATGTGCACAGGAGGCCAGAGCATTCAGCTTTCATCAAAGCGCCTTCTTCCACACGGTCATCAAGCAGAGCTCTGTGAGAGCTCCGAATCCTGTGATGTTGTTTTTAAAACCTAACCCTGCTTTAGACCTCTCCCCTGTCTGCTGTGTTCCTCTGTCTTTTGGATGCAATTTGTTCACTATTGTCCTCTAACAAACCTCTGAGGCCTTCACAGAACAGCAGATTTTTTTTTTTCCTTCCTGTGATTAAATTACTCAAATGGGACTTCTGGTTTCTTTCTGGCTTTTTTATTTTTTGCGTCTAAAGCAGTTATTGTGGTGAATCTGTTTTACAGTATCTCAGTTCTTAAAGACACAGGATGTGTTATTTAAGATGTCTTTGGTTTTAGACATTTGTTTAAACTGTAACTACGTCAGTATGTGTGAGAGATAATCTGTGGGAAAAAAAACTCACAATCTCCTTTGCCTCCTCACAGTGCTTCTACTATCATCCACATAAATACACTGCTTCTGGTGAGAAACAACCAATCAGAGCCAAGAGGAGGGTCTTAGCGCTGTCAATCATGCTTATGTAGCGTAGCTCACAGCCTTCCCCCTTTCTCTCTGCTGGTTTACCACAACCGAGCCTGCCACGAATGTTAAAGCTAGTTAGCATAGCCACCAATAAACAGTTTTCCTGTTTCTCTACCAGTAGCACATTATCCAACATGTTCACACGGGTGATTGACAGCGCTAAGACACTCCTTCTGGATCTGATTGGTTGATTCTGACCAGAAGATGGAGGGGGTAAAGAAACTTTTCTTTTTCAATGTTTTTTGGTCTCATTTTATGCTATGTGTAAAAAAGAACATATCTTTTATAAAAGTTACACTTTAACTGAGGTTTCACAAAGGTTATAAATTGCTGCCGAGGACTCCTTTGAAAAAGAGGTTTTTAATCTGACTGAGACTCTTCTGGTTAAATAAAGGTAATAATAGCAAAACTAAATTTAAGGACAATTTGTCCTAGATTGCAAGGCAAAACAGCACACACAAATTAAGTTGCATTCACTTTTAGATTGAATTCCTGATTTGGTTTGAGGTGAAGATGAGATTTCTTGCGTCAGTTACTAAAATGACAGTTTGACACTCAATAATCCACACTGGAAGCCAAATAATTTTTTCGTCCATAACATGATAATATGATTTTGAGGTCCTTTTTAGTTAAAAAAAAAAAAGAAAAACGAGGCATATTAAGCATTGTGCTGCTTTAGTGTCCTATTAATATTATTATTATATTTTACGACAGGGTGGAAAAATGTTCTCTTTTCAAAATGTCCTTTTAAATAAGATGCTGTTTCCAGATGCATAATGTCTCCATTAAGACAATTAGATCAAATTACAGCTATATATTACCACAGCAGCTATTCAGTGCATAAACAGCTACACTGATGTAATTTATACACACAGAAGTGGTCGGTGGAAGTTATGTGATTAGCCATTTATTTATTTGCCACATGATAGTAGAGATGCCAATCTGTGTTGCCTATTTCTGTCTCCACACACACACACACACACACACACACGCACACACGCACACACACACACGTACACACCACCTGCCTCTCTTATTGATCGCAAAAACCAAGACAGCATTATCTCTAGTTGTGTGTGTGTGTGTGTGTGTGTGTGTGTGTGTGTGTGTGTGTGTGTGTGTGTGTGTGTGTCTGCATGCACATGTCAATCTCACGGTGCTCCAAAGCTCTATTGGTGCTGATGATCAGAAGTCAGCCCTTGATTGTGAATTGGCGTCAAAGAGCGCAGCTCGCCCGGGGTGACTTGCAGGCCGTTGCCATGGTACTGGAAGGTGATGGCATAGAGTTCTCGCTGCACCATGGGCTCGAGCCTCTCTGGGTATGTGAATCTACTGCCTAAAATTAAATCATATGATACTGCGATTAAAATCACGTGAGCAAGACATGTTTCTTTCTTTTTTTTTTTTTTTTTTAACTAGGTAACCATGATGAAAGTTCTTGCAAAATCCTGTTTTTGTGGAGCTTGCCTAAAATCTGCACTTTTACTAAAGTATGTCTTTTTTTTTCTTACATAATTATTAAAGCTGTCACTATGTCATGACAGTATAATATTAGACAGATAATCTGTAAAAATCAAGCTCCTCCACTTCCTCCCTGATCTGCTGTTGCTGAAGAAATGCACCGCTCCAGTTCAAAAACAACCAATCAGAGCCAGGAGGAGGGTCTTAATGGTGTCAATAAACCTCATGTTCTCTAATAAATGTGCTAATGGCAGAGAAACAGCTTACCTTTCCAGGAAAACCGTTCATGCGTCAACATCAGTGGCTATGCTAACTAGCATTAGCATTCGTAGCAGGCCATGTTGTGGTGAACCAGCTAGCATAGAGGAATGGGAGGGGGTGAGCATGAGAGTGATTGGCAGCACTAAGACCCTCCTCCTGGCTGTGATTGGTTGTTTCTGACTGAGTGGTATATTTTTCCAGTTGGTATGGGGACAAAGAGGAGGAGCTTTATTTTTTTTCACAGATTATCTGTCACATGCCATAATGAGAATTTTGATAAAAATGTAAAACCATATATTTTTAATAAAAGTTACCCTCCCCAGCTTTAAATAGTCAGTCATCTTCTAATGGATAATACTACAGAGGTTTAGAGAGGACATAGTTTTGGTGAGAAAGAGTGCTAAGTGACAGCTCCTGCTTCCTATTTTATCTTTATTTTTTGAAGGCTTTGCTGCCTCCCCTGGCTTGATAAATATTTGATGGGAATTTGCTGCTTCATCTGCATGCGTTCCAACTTGGGCCCATACGAGCGCAACACTTGCAGAGGCGGCCGTTCTTTCGCCCACGTTCTCCCAGAGGTTCTTTTAGCTTTGCTCAGAGGAGGGGAAGAGCACATTCCTTGTTCCCACGACACTTTGTTTTCCTGCATGCAAGAGCCATGTTTCACTGGTGCATCCGTGCAGTGAGCTGCAGCTGAACATCGACGAACCAAGCTCAAAACACGCTGTTTTAAACCTCCAGATCTCACAAGGTTGTGTTTTGTTCGCCACGAGTAAACTTTACATGATTTTAAAGTTTCCTAGTTTCAGTCTCTGCGGTACAACATGACACAAAACTATCTCTGTGTGTGCTCGCAAAGATGAACTTAAGGTGAATGAATGATATTCAATGAGATTTTTTTCCCCTTAGGATGCAGTGGAACCATAAAATATGGAGATGCAGCAAAAAAAGAAAAAACAGAGGAAAACCATGATTACCAAACTACTTTAGACTACTTTTGCTTAAGAAGAGCAAAAAGAACATCAAGAAATAATGGAAAAACAAAGAAAAAACGATTAAAATGATTTCCTTTCAGTTTTCTCTAAAGCAATTTGCATTTTTTTTGCTCACATTAACTCGAAAGATCTATCTATCTATCTATCTATCTATCTATCTATCTATCTAGCTAGCTAGCTAGCTAGCTAGATAGCTAGATAGATAGCTATAGTAAAGCTAGCTAGCTTTACTTTGTCTCAGTTTATCAATAAAACAATCAATCAATAAAACACACCAAAGCTGTTAAGTCTAAGAGGTAATAAATATTATGTTGGTGAGAAAAAAATGTTAGCTTAGAAGGCAGTAGTAAACACAGATCATTTTAAAACTACAAATGTTAACATGTAAAATGGTCAGTGTCCATCATATTATATGTGCCAAATTATGTTTTTTCCCCTTTTTTGTTTGTATTTGAACAAGAAAGGCCTTTCTTGTTTTTTTTGTTTTTTTGTTTTTTGTGTGGATTTCTCTTCTCTCAATTTACTTCAGTACAAATATCTGTAATACCAATTCTTAATTTGAAGCTCATTTAGACAATACATGTTAGCTATTGTGAACAGATGTAGAATGCAGAAATAATAATCTAATGCTGCAATATATAGTGAGTGGGATTTCAAATATCACGAATTAAAAGAAGAGGAAGAAAAAAAGATCATCCGTGTCCCTGTGCGTGTAAATGTTTTCGTGTGGGCTTTCCAAGCATTTCTGGGTCTCTTTAAAGTTACAAGATGGATTCTGATTCACATAATACTCACAGATGGCTCATCTGATTCCACACATGCACCTAGTTTGTGTTTACTCAAAAGCACACCCACGCTGACAGCCTTCAAAGTTGCCTCGTACTACGAAGGAGGAACAGTCACGCGTGGAAGGAGCTCGCCAGAACAAAGCTGGAATCTCCCATTTTTAATATGGCGATAAAACTAGACGCTGCACTTCTGCGAATTTCCCCACCCATTCAACTTTAACACAAAGACATTTCTGATATGATAATATTCCTGTCAGTCAGATCATTTGTTTTCATTCGGCTCGTTTGCTTCAAATCACACGATTTGCTGTTTACACAACCAACGCGCACAAATTACTATATTTTCCTCCAATTTCTGACCGTCAAATATAGACTTTGCTACCATCTAGAGGTTAATGACGTATACTACAAGGAGACTCATTGAAGTCAGTGTCCTGAAGGTATTAATATTAGCTGCTTTTTCAAAACCTATATACCAGATATTTAACTACTAGATAACCCTGAATGCAGCTGAGTTTTTCCGTTTGCTTTACAGCAGGAACTGGTCGCACAATAAATGTGACGTTCGCGACTGTTCATTGAGAATTCCTACATTTTCCATAGCACTCAAATGCAGCGTGTAACATAACCAACCAATGACGACGGAGGAAGTGAGTGCATGGTATCATTGCAACGTTCTAGCGACAAAAGTTAGCTTCATATCATTTACATCACAGTCAACGAGAGGTAATATCTTTATCAGATACTTTGACAGTCGTTACATTGTTTCCCTTCTTCTTTACTGCAAAGCATGTCATTTTCTCTCAGACAAAGGACGTCGGCAGTGAAGGTTTAAACAACAATTTGACGTTTAAAGTAGCTCATTCATTGCTAACTGTTAACAAATAAACAGAGCCATTTAAACTGGATGTAGTTGAATGGTGAAGTTTTTGTGTTATCTGCGATTAAAGCGTAGTGTTTACTGCCTCTTCTTGGGTCCAATGTCCATGTTTAAGTATTTTTTTTATCCGTTTTCTCGAATTGAAACATGACGAATGAATAGCAGGTACTCCCAAGCTTCATTGTGACCAAGTTACAAAAGCAAGTCAAACAGCTGCTTCCATTTTCCCTGGATGAAGGTTAAATAATAACCTGCAGAGCTTTGTTTATATCACACTGAGGTTTGCTCAGTTTTACTGAATGCACAGCTCTCTACTGCCTCACCGCAGCATTTTAATCAAGTTTAGTTTTGGGCTAATTTCAATTTAGCAAACCATTAATCAACAATTAATAGTAAGTCGATTGTTTGCAACGCTAGTCACATTGCACTAGATATAAAATTTTTCTGACATCAAAAAAATACCACAGATTTTCGGTGCAACAGGCACATCCGACAAGCATATCGGTTTAACAATGACTAGTTGGAGTTGAATAATTATTTACTTTAAAATAATTTCTTAATTTACTGGCATTATTATCATCAATTATCTTCAAGAAAGTAATCTTCACGTAGCTTTGTTTCGTGGTTATTTATGTGCTCTGGCATAAATGTCTTTGCCTTTTTTCATCTATATTTTTAACTTTATTTATTTATTTATTTTTTTTTGCTTGACATCTACCAAGATATCAACTGTTCATTGTTTTCATGTCGTGGCAGAAAAAGCCCCTTTAAGGACTGTCTTATGGATCCTGCTCAGCAGTCTAACAAGGCCAAGCGGAATCAAGGGATGAGGCGCAGCCAGAATCAGTCGGCGACCCCTCCTCCAAAAGACGCCTACGCCAGGCTGCTGAGCCAGCACCGCAGCAGTATGTTCACTTCCTACCTAGCACAGTACGCACAGGACTCGTTAACCCAAAAAGAGGCAAACGACTCCAGTGCGTCGCTCCAAGCCCACAGTGACGGGCTTAACTTGCCACAACAAAAAAAGGACCATGTGCTGATCGAGTTCCCCGACTCAAGCGACTTCTCTCCGTCCTCAAAAAACAAAGGGGAAGAGAGTTCACTGTCCTTGTATATGGAGAAGTTAAGCACTCACTGTGACCAGCGGGAGTGCGAAAGGAAGCCGGGTGTGAATGAGAGACAACGACGGGGCCAGAGGAGGGACACCACCACCAGCCAGGACGGAGACATCGAATCCGGAGAGGAGCTTGCCTGTTCGCGAAGCAACGGCCCAAAGAAACACCAGAAACAGCAAAAGAAGAGGGATGATCCGAACAGAAACGCTGGCCCCACGGCAGCCGAGGCGTATGCCGGGCCTCAGACCCCAACAGCGAATGCTGGCGTAAGCGAGCAGGAGCAAGAGAAAGGGAAGAAGTCAAAGAAGAAAAACCAACTGAAGAAGCCAGAGGCGGAGAAAAACAGGGAAGCGGTTTTAAAATTATCCGCTGATCCTCAAATACAGAGTCCTAAACCAAATCAGGGTAAAAGTGGAAAACCTCAGCAGCCTGCAGGTTAGTTCTGGGAAATTTCTTGGTCCTTCTCGCTTAAAAAATAAATCTTCTTTGTCACTATTAGGTCAGTATGTCCCTGAGTGAAATCTTTTCCGGCTACAGGAGTAAATTCTCCAGGCGAGAAGGGCAAGAACAAAGGAGACAGGAGATCGAAGAAGCAGGTGTTTGAGTCCTACATGAGCTTGGAGGAGGTTTCCCATGGCCTGAAAAGAGGAGAGCTTCACCAGGTACGAGCCGTAAAAAGGTGGCACTATCACCCAACTACATTTCCTTCTCAACTAGAGACTATTTATCTCTAATTGAAGTGCTTGAGTAATTTCTTCCTATTTCCTCTGCAGGGACAATTAAGAATCAATCCCAAGAATTACAACGAAGCCTTTATTCCGTCTCCTGTAAGTTCAAATGCAGACCTCTTCATAGTACGACCCTGAACTATGGTGCAGTCCTTTATGTTTAAACGAAGGCAGTCAGAAAACCAGCGGCATGTTTTTATGTTTCCAGGACGACACGCGCGATATATTCCTGGACGGAGTTGTTGCCCGCAACAGGGCGCTTAACGGAGACATAGTGGTGATTCAGATTCTCCCTCAGGAACAGTGGAAGGTGAAACCTCAAGTGTCTAACAGTGATCGTTTTTTGTTTGAAAAATATAGATGATCATTGGGGTGATTGTGTGATTAAAATGTATATTTTAATCACACAATTGATTTTTGTGTGATTGATTTTTGTTTAACTCTGAACATGGTTTTGTTGGAGGAAGATTGAACTCATTAAACTTGTTAATCACCAGCTGAACGTATCAGGGTGTCCGTGCATCCTTAAAAAGTCTTAAATTTATTTAAAATAAATTTTCAATGTTGACCTTAACTACGTTAATCACAGCTGTTAGATTTTGTCATGGTGGAACTATTTAATCTCTCATATACTATGTCGTTTTCTGGGGAGCTTTTTCTCACGGACCTTTCTGTCAGGCGAAAGTTTGAGTCCCAAGCAAACATCTTCATTGCGTTCTGTGACTCAAGGCCGTTGCGGCTACCGCTAACTAGCTGCTAATATTTATTGTATTCATCATGGGTTAGTTAAAGTATTTTAAAACATTTTTACAAAATGAACCTCTATATCTATTGTACATTTTGTTGTGATTCAGGTCTTAAATTTCATTCATAATGGTCCTAAAAGGTCTTAAATTTGAGTTGATGAATCCTGCAGAAACCCTTTGTTTATCTTAAGCCGTCAGTGCAGGCAACCACTTTTGTGGTTGCCTGCACTAAGCTAACTAGGCTTTTTGCCACAGCTGATAGAAGTGCAAAAACTAAAGGATATTAATAATTTACAACACAAATTCTTCGTCGCCTTCAGAAGCGTGTGTGTTCATGATTTCAACCACAACTTGTTAAATGTTCAGACTTCAAATGCTCCAAATGTCATGGAAAATATGTAGGAGTTTGTTTGGAAGAGTAGCCGATGACAAGTCAATGAATCTGAGATGAGGATACAAATATAATTTTACATCAGTTGGGTCCCACTCAACATCTCAATGGTGTTGAGACATTGAGTATGATCAGCAGTAGTTAGTACGACACAAAATACCAACTTCTTTGGTTGAAAAACTCAATGGTTAATTGGTTAAAGGATATTTTATAATGTTACAAAACAAACTAGAAAGCGCAATGAACATGGAATAGAAAAGTTACTAAATCTTATTCTGTTATAACTATGCCGCAGCCCCACACTTTTTCATAAATTTAACAGCACATTACGTTTCTAACATCCTCCAGCGCTCAGTTAAACACTCCAGTCCGTTCCATTGCTGTGAAAGCTTGAACACGTGTCTCTGCAGGTGGTGAAGTCTGATTCCGACTGCGATGGCACCAGTGAGTTGGACACACAGACGGAGCATGTGCCGCGAACGGCCCAGAAGAGCGCAGGGCATGGCCCGAGTCCTGATGTCAAAGTGGAGGACCAGTCAAGCGACCCGGAGGAACTGCTGAGGAAACGTCCTGATGTCTCTTGCGCTGACACGGGTACTGTAGAGAAGTGGGATCAGAGCATCTGGTGCAAATCAGCTGCAGAAAAAGAAATAATGCGTCTGTTGTAATCATATACTAAGACACTCACACTAGTACTTTCATCTTGACTCAGGGGAACATCTGGAAGATCCTTCAACACCCCAAGCCAACGCTGACATCCTCCAAAAGACGGCTAAAGTACGTTGGGTTTCCTACATTGGCTTCTTTCTTCGTATTTTAGTTCCTCCCAAGAGAACAATCGTTCCCTTTGCAAAGACTTTTATTTTCAGTCCTGATTCCTGGGTTCTCCTCTACACTGGGCTCAAAGGCTTGGCTTGCCCACAGCATCGTAGATCCTCCACTACACCCTTCAATTGGCAGGAGGGGTTTTCTTCATGCTAATTCGGAGTCCCCTATCTTTATCTACCAGGTGGTTTACATCGTTGAGAGAAAACACTCCCGAGCCGTCACCGGCCACCTGAAGTTCCTACCAGACAAGCCCTTCGCCATGTTCTCTCCCGTAGACCACCGGGTGCCACGAATAAACGTCAAACTCGACGACTGTCCCATGGAGTTCAGAGCCAATCCGGGCGACTTCGCCAAGACCCTGTTGATCTGCCGGATCACCGACTGGCCAGTCGACAGCAACTTTGCCGAAGGGTGAGGAATTACTTTGAAATGACGGCAAGGAACTTGGCGGTGTTCGAAAGCTCTACCTACCATTTCTTGAACTTTTTGTTTTCTTTCTTTTATTCTCTCCTCTTAGCCGACTTGCTAAGACCCTGGGTCAAGCAGGAGAGATTGAGCCGGAGACTGAAGGAATCATGATCGAGTACAACGTGGATTTTTCTGAGTTCCCACAAGAGGTGTTGGACTGTCTTCCTAAGACGCTCCCGTGGACCATCCCACCAGAGGAGATTGAAAAGAGGAGGGACCTCCGGTTAGAACCCCAAATTCTGTTTTCATTGGGAATATGACTCATGATGTTGAATACATTTATTACTTAACTTTTTTTCTTTTAGGAAGGAGTGTATCTTCACGATCGATCCTGCCACTGCCAGAGATCTGGACGACGCCCTGTCTTGTAAACAACTCCCAGACGGTACGCTGCTGCCCATCATGCTCTGTTAGCCCCTTTAAGAGGGAACTACAGTTTCACACTGTTTTCTTTAGACTATATATTACTGTAAAATTCAGTCACAGATGGACAGATGCAACCTATTGCATAGAAGTCAGCTGAAAAGTGTAAAATGTTTCTCATAATAATAACCAGGCATAAGTCAGTATGAGATTCTTATTGTAAGATGAGCTTCAGTAAACATCCCAGGTTATCTTGGTTTGATGGCATTTACCAAAATTAACCTTTTTTTTGTTTGTTTTAAAGAGAGTTTTATGTATTCTTAGGCACATTTTATAGAACTATCAATAACCTTTGACCTTGAATTGTTATAAAAATGCTATATATCAAACATGACTAAAGAATTTAACCCTTTAGAAACTCCTGCTCTTTCTGAAACTCCACTTTCAGAAAGTCATCACAACATGGCTCCTCTATTAACCGTTTTACAATGTTTTTGCCAGCATTGCACTGAGAAGTAGCTCCTTTCATGAACTCAGCAGATGTGCAGTTCTCCCAGGTGTTTGCTAATTGCTGCTGGCTAGTCTGAAGGAGCCGAGTGTGTGAGTCGCATGAGAGGGGGAGCTTGGAAACTGCAGCTCCAAGAACTTAAATATGTTCATCTTAATAAAATGTGAAATATCCTTTTTTTTAATGATACCAATTGAAGTACAGCTTTATAAATTCTACGCTACACCACATTTGAAGGCTGATTAGCAGAGAAAGATTAGCAATTTTGCTCTTAAACTCTGTTAGTTCTCCTCCACTTGTCTATCACTTTGCAGAGTTAAAACGCAATTTTTAATCCCAGGCAACTTTGAGGTCGGAGTTCACATTGCTGACGTCAGCTACTTTGTGAAGGAGGGCACCCCGCTTGACAACATGGCCTCCCAAAGAGCCACCAGCGTTTATCTCGTTCAAATGGTTAGTATGAAGTGAAAGACATTGGTTGTGTGTTTGTCGGAGTGAGATGTTTTTACTGGACTTTTTTATTCTTTGATTTTTTTTTCTTTTCTTCTTTTTTTGAATTTTTTATTCTTTTTGAGGTTTTGATGTAGAGGTGGGCGATATGGACTTCTGACTTTTATCATAATATTTTGTAACACTATTGCAATAATGATAAAAATTAGAATAATAAACAATTTACTACTTCTTTTTTAGGAAACTGCTTAGCAACACAAATACTGCTCCTGAAAAACATTCCCATTTGAAATAGGCTTCTTCAAGACACCACTTAAGGAAGAGTGATTTAAACTGCACATTATAAACCGGGTTTAATCAAAATTTCAAATTTACTGACATTTATTGACTCTGTTATGCAACCGACGGTGATGAAAATAGTAAAAGTAACATTTCTGATAATACTGTCTGGTTCTTTCTTTATTTATTTATTTATTTATTTTTACGTCAATTGAAATTTATTGAGAAAACGATTAAGCAAAATTCTTCTCACAATGTGGAAAATTTTGGCGCCAAATGACTAACGACAACTGACTTGCTGAAGGTGGTGCCCATGCTGCCCAGGCTGCTGTGCGAGGAGCTGTGCAGCCTGAATCCTCTCACCGACAGACTCACCTTCTCCGTCATCTGGAAACTCACACCTGAGGGAAAGGTATGCGTGAATGAAACGCGGTCCTGCCACAGCCGCAATCGGTTAAAAACAAAAGTGCATTTTTTGACAATGCTCCGTTAAATTAAACGTAACCTGTAACTTCAGATCCTGGACGAGTGGTTCGGCCGCTCGGTCATGCACTCCTGCGTGAAGCTGAGCTACGACCACGCTCAGCGATTGATCGAGGCTCCCGAGAGGTTATTCCCTCCCGACGAGCTTCCGCCCATCGACGCCGAGCACACCGTCGACGAGATCCACCAGGCCGTGCTCCACCTGCACTCTATCGCCAAGAACCTTCGAGCTCAGCGCTTTCTAGGGGGCGCTCTTAGACTGGACCAGGTCAGCGCAGTTCACTGTTGGCTCCAACAGCAGCCGTGTGGAGCAAGAACGTCCTCATCCCTTGATGTTTTTTTTGTCCCAGCTCTAAACTCCAAGGAATTTATTTCTGCAGTTAAACAAAGTGATCCATTATTGAGGCGGTAGTCAGATCCCAGATCCAACTGAGTGTTTCATGTTCTGTTTGTTTCAGCCGAAACTTTCTTTCACACTTGACAAAGAGACCATGATGCCCCAAGGTTGTTACATTTATGAATACAGAGACTGCAACAAGTGAGAATCCTCTATTGAACTCATTTTTCACCTCATATTTGGAAAAACATTAAAAATTTTTTTTTTTTTTTTTTTTTTTGGAGAAACGTCTCTGAATTAGTCGTGTTGTTCTTTTAGGCTGGTGGAGGAGTTCATGCTGCTGGCCAACATGGCCGTAGCGACCCACATTTACAGGACGTTCCCTACGCTGGCGCTGCTGCGGCACCACCCGCCACCCAAAGCCAAGCTGGTGAAGGAGCTGGAGGTTCTGTGCAACCAGTTGGGCCTGAACATGGACTTCACCTCTGCAGGAACCATACACGTCAGTAGCTTTATTTTTTTTTAGAAATAAGAAATGGTGAAAAGCTGTTCCATTTTTTTTGTTTGTTTTTTTTGTTTTTTTTAATGAGCTAAATCTGTCTTACGGTGCTCAGTAAAATGTCTCTTGTGTTTCTCCATCCAACAGAAGAGCCTCTGTGCCATTTATGGAGATGACGAGTACTCGGTCTACAGGAGACAAGTCCTTAATAACATGTGCTCCAGACCCATGCAGGTCAGAACTTGTCACCATTCTTCTTCTATTTAAGAGTTTTATTATTGGCATAAACAAACAGCTTCATTCCAAAGGCTACTTTTTAGGAAAACTCAATCCTACTCTTATTTAACCAAAGCACACAAACTCCGTGTTTTACATTTGTGATGGTAGGACAGAAAAAAAATAATATATATATTTTATTTTCCTAGCATTGTTCTGTGACAACCGCTAGGTATTGATAGTAGGTAGTGGTTGCTATGGAGAGTTGCTGACCTCCGAAAGGCCACGCCTACCTGCAACAATTGCAATTAATTTTTTTTAATCTAAAGATGACTATGGATCACTTCCAGACATGAGAGATGGACCCATCTGTGTCACGTCATATTTACACCCAAGAAAGTCACAGATTACTTACTAGAACATCGATTCACTAACCATTTAAAGCTTCAATTAATTGCAAATGCTTCAGTTAGATTGATGTAAGACTGTCCCAAGTACTCATAATAATTACTTTGAAAAAAATATTTATTTTCCATTATAATTCGACTTTTGAAAAATATGGATTGGATTTTTCTTCAACGTTTAATGTGAAATGATACTCCTCAGTAAAACACTACTAAATTTACTAAATTTAATGGTGGTTTTATGTTATTTTTTTAAACCTGTTTATCCAGAACAACAACAGATTTGTCCGTGTCAGCATGTCCTGCAAAACTATACAGCCTTTTTCGGAGGTGAAAGAGAACTTTGAAAATGTATATCTTTTTTTTTTTTTTTAATACTGATTGTAAAAGGGAGGAAAAACACTTTCTGTAATGGGAAATGAGGATTTCAAGAAGCGTTTTTGCTCTGATTGAACGTTTCCCCCTGGCTCCATCACCATTAGCGTTACCGATACGAAGGAAAGCGCAGTCATGACTTGTGCTGTTTGTGTCCTCAGCTGGCCTTGTACTTCTGTACCGGTACGAAGCTGCTGAAGGAACATTTTCATCACTACGCTCTCAACGTTCCCCTCTACACACACTTCACATCGCCCATCAGGCGCTACCCTGACATCATCGTGCACCGGCTGCTGGCGGCGTCTCTGAGTACGTCCCACAAACGACGTGAAAAAAAAAAAAAGGCTACCTCTGTTGTCTGAACGAGGGACAGAAAAACACACCCAGACCTTCAGATCACCTGATGCATTTGTTTTGATTTCTGTCTGCCACTGTTTCTCCTTTATCGTCTTCGTGTTTTTTCTTTATTCGCCATGTTTGTAACGTTTGTCTTTCACTGCTGAACGTTTGCACGCAGACCTGGGGCCTCGTTTGGGCCTGTCGGCAGAGGAAGTCCAAATACGGGCATTGCACTGCAACGATAAGAAGACTTTGTCCAAGAAAGTGCAGGAGCTCAGCTCAGAGCTTTACTTCGGAGTGTTTGTGAAGGTGGGCGACACAAAGTTTTTGATTTCCATTGAAGAAACAATAACAAAAAACTGTGGAATCACAAATGACACGTTTTAGTAGGAGGGCTGCAGTAAGCTGTTTATTATGGGCAGTGGTGTGTACAGACATTTTAGGGGTCAGGAGCTGAAGTGGAAAAAATGGCACCATGGAACTTCTTCCCCACATCTGTCAACATCAAAGACTCTGATGAAAATTATACACAAGTTCCAACACCATTTCTTTTCTACAGCGGAGTAATAGGCCGCGCTAAAACTGAAATTATGAGAATAAAATCACAATTTTACTAGAGTAAAGTCTTAGAGTTATGAGAATAAAGTCATATTAAAATGACTTCCTTCTGGTTTCAACTTTATTCTCTAAACATTGACTTTACTCTTGTAATATTATGACTTTCTTCTCGTGATGTTACGGCTTTTTTTTACTTTTTTTTAACATGGCCACAATTTCTGTCTTAAAAGTTTTTGAATTGAATTCAGTTCAATATTTAATCTATTTTGTGCAAAACATCAAGACCACTGGCAGTGAAACACATTTACAGCATGATGCTGCCTCCACCATGCTTATCAAATAGTTCAGTGCACTACGGTGGACCTCCTGTGGCCAATATTTTCATTATATGGGAGGATAATATGGAGTCCAGCATACATCCTATGGCGCTTTAGGGCAGTTTCAGGCACAACCTAGTAATGTTTTCAATTATTTTCACTCTGCAGCCCAAATGCTTCATGGATCCTTGCTGTGTGTTTATGTAAAGCAGTGAAATGGGTGTTAAAATAAAAGCCCTCATGTAAATGCGTTTTGTTGTTTTGCTCCACAGGAGTGCGGCCCTCTGGAGTCCAAAGCCATGGTGATGGCTGTGCTGGATAAGTCCTTTGACGTTCTGGTTCTCAAATATGGAGTCCAGAAACGGATCTACTGCAAGGTCAGCTCAAACAACATCACTCATACTGGTTTAATCACATTTTTTTTTTTAAATGTATTTTTGCTGCGTATTATTTTCACTTTTTTTATTCTTTTTGTCTGAGATGTTACTATGACCATTTCTTTCACACATTGCCTCTAAAACCTTCCAGGGAGTCATTTTTTACAGTAATAAGTGGCGTTTTCATGAAGCGATTTTTTTATTTTTTTTAATTTTTTTTACTCATTTCTCTTCTCTGTCAGTCCATCGCGGGCCTGGACTCGTACCGCTTCCAGAAGGCGGAGAAGGTCCCGCAGCTCCTGCTGGTCTGGACGAGTGACGATGAAGAAAGTTCCCCTGTGGAGCAGGTGAGAACAAGAACAGACACATTTAGTTTCTAATGTCATCGGTTTTCTGGTTCTCAGTGAATTATACACCAACAAAAAATATATATTTATATATTTACTGACTCAACTTGAGTCAGTCTAGTTTCCTTGTTGCTTTTTTAACTCGGTTAAATTAGATCAACTTTAACTGTCAAGTTAAAAAATATTAAAGTATTGCTACAACTTTAGATAAGTTTTAATAACTGTCTTTAGGAATTAGATTAGATAAGAAAATGTAAAAAAAAAAATTGTTGCCACAATTTTAAGTTTTTACATTACACAGTTTAACATATTTTATATTTTCAGTAACACGACTCATTTTAATAAGTTTGAACAAATGTTCTCACTCTTTAACTCATATTTCTTAGTTTAAAAAAAGTCAAACTCTGTATTTATTTTTTACTCCATGATTTATTCTTATTTACATCTTTAAAATGTTCATTCTCTTTTTACAAATTATGTTGGAGTTTAGATATACACTAAAGATTTTTATGGCTTTTACCTTCCAATACCAATTATTGATGATTTCCATTTCTCTTTACCAACTTTTAATATGAAGATGATAAAAGCAGGATTAAAATACTTCAGTAAAATAATAACTTTGTGTTTTATATTGACAATTAACGTGCTTAGCATAAATAAACCAACATAGAAAACTGCAAATGGTAGGTTATTGGGTTTCGTGTTCAAAGATTCAAATCTGATTTCTTGATAAGGTCAAAGGTCCAAAGGAACTAATGATGAGAAAATCCCTTTTTATTAAATTTGCACCCTGTTATTTACATTTGCAAGCAAAGAAATGGCACTTTTAGCCTTAAACTTTTTCAGGACCCTGACAAATTGTAAATTTTGACAGCTTATAGGTAAGCGATATTGTGTGATAATGATAAAAGTAATGATAAAAACAGTATTTATAACTTCTTTGCATTCTTTCTAGGTAACTGTACGTCTGCAATCATATGACACAGCAATCACAACCCCATAAACACAAATATTGCTCTTGAACATCATATAGGCTTCTTCAGGAAACCAGTTACATAAAGGACTGTGGTTCTTTTTTTTTCTTTAACTGCATTTAATTTAAAAAAAATTATTCTTCTTTGGATGTTTTTATTAAAGATGCACCGATCCGATTTTAATATTAGTATCTATCCATATTGTTCCCGGTATTGAAAAAAATTGTAGATCGGGTTTTGGTGACAATGTGTCCGTTCCAGATCTATTCAGTCCAATTCTATGCGGCGTCATGCTTTATTACTTATTTTACATTATATTTATAATTCCTAATTTAACTTTCTGAACCATTTGAAAGAAAGTTTGTTGAAGTTTTTTTTTTTACGTTTCATCATTATGTAACCGACTGTTTTAGTCATTTTCAGTTTCTTTTACATTGGCGGTTTTACTCCTAATTGCACCGACTGAACAAATTAAAGTTGTTTTTACATGTTTGACCAAGCTTGTGAAGCTATTGGTGTATTTAAGTGTGCAGGGTTATTAAATTAATTTGTGATTTATTACATATATGTCCACTTAAAAAAAAAAAAAAAAAAAAAAACTTTTTAAGACAATTTCGAGTTGATTTCCTGTATCTGATTGGTTTTGGCCGATGCTAAACTTCAGTTATCGGTATCGGAAGTGAAAAAAGTGGATTGGTGCGTCCGTAGTGTTCATTTTACCTTATATTTGAGACAGTTGACATAAAAGCAAAGACGTATCAAGATGACATGGAAGCAAATCGATGGCATTTTTTTTTCTCTCCAGGTAATTTCCATCTTCTCTGTGGTGGACGTGCAGCTCAAGGCGGATGAAGTGCCTCTGAAATACAGCGCGCTGCTCAAGAGGCCAGAAAATGTTGCTTCATAAAACACCTTGCAGAAAATTGAGACTTGCACATTTTCGCTTTGTTAAATAGGAGTGTGATTGTGAGCTTAGACGTGGTGCTGCGTTGTAGCCGCCGTCACATCAGAGTCAAACCTCAGCACAACTCCTGTGAAAGGAAGTGATTTCATGAAGGTTTAGTTTTAGTTTTGAGTCTTTTTAACTGACCTCACTCAGCAGCTGCCCACTTTCCAAGGTTGTAGGCTCCTAGAAAACGTTTCCACCACCATATAGCAGAAATGTTTCAGTGTTTCCCAGCTCTCTTTATATCGTACAAACTTCATCTATATCTTTTACTTCACTAAGTTATTTTCCAGTTAGTGTTCTGGAAAATGGTCAGCTGCAGTGTGAATCCTGCTGCAAGGTGTTAAGTGTTTCTGTGTCCAAGGAAGATTCAGACACTTTTCTGGAACTTTCTGAACATGGCAGAAATGATCTTTTATTATTCTTTTGACCAGATTAGGTCAGTTTTGACGTGCTATGATTTTGGTTTAGTTTCATTTATGAAACCAGATTTTTAAACCTTGTTTCAGTTTGACATTGGTGGCATTTTTCTATAAAAAAGGGAGGAAAAAAGCCTTTGTGTTAGTTGCACCCACACAAGAACTCGTGTTGTATTGCACTCTACCAGCTTTTGCGCTCGGTTTATTTTCTGTGACTCGGACGAATTCTGACCAGCATGACTCAAATAATGAAATGATAGCAAACTTGTATCATATTATTTGCTCCTTCATCTGGACATCTACATGTGGTTCCGATCAGAAGTTTACATACACGAGCAAATGTTTGGTATGTTTGATAAGATGTGCAAATTCAATTTCATTTTTTTTTTCTTTTAAACAGAAGTTTGAAGGAAATTCCTTCAAAATACAAATTTATACAAACTGGATCAAATATATTCATACACACCCTTCAGTATTTGCTTTAAAGCTCTTTAGGACATTGTAGAAAAGCTATCAGGTGAAAGTCTGGATGGATATTTTTCCACTCTTACCAGATCCATTTAAAATAGTTGGTTTCATAGCTTTTGCACTTTTGCAAGTATTTTTGGTCTAGTTTCTAGTGCTAATATCTTATTACACTTAAAATAAGACAAAACTCACTTACAAGTAACTTTTCATCAAGACATAGGAGCTTGTTTTAAGTAAATAATTCCCTAATACTGTTGAAAACATATTTCTTCCACTGGCAGATTGTTTCACCTATAAAATGGAAAAAAAAAAGAAAAAAAAATCTTGTTATAAGCGAAATAATCTGTCAATGAAACTAGAACTTTTTCATCAATATTAAGGAATTATTTACTTGAATCAAGCTCCTGTTTCTTGCTGAAAAGTCCCATGTAAGTGAGTTTTGTCTTATTTCGATAACACTAAGATATTTCCTCTAGAAACCAGACCAAAAAATACTTGGTTTATGAGCAGCGTAGATACTAAAATATTGAAAAACGAGAGTTTACAGTCAGCTTTGACCTCTGTAGTTCCTGGGTTGCTCCTGAACATTGTGACCTATTTTTTCCGTTACCTGAGTTCGGTCCTTCAGGACAAAGATCAGGCTATAAAAATTCCCCCAGACTGCAATCCTTTTTTTTTTTTTTTTTTTGAGTAATATCTGCTGGAAACCAGCAGATATTACTGATGAGATAATTCTGATGAGAGGATTGGTTTAAGACGGAGGTGTCCGAAGTGCGGCCCCGGAGCCACTTGTCCCCCAACTGCAATTCAAGAATGATACAAATTTGGCCGGTGGATGCAGATGGAGACTTTTAATTTGTAATCGGGGTAAAAATTGTTACCAACATAATTAACAGGAAAATGTAATGTATAACACAAAGTATTTGCTTTCTTATAACCAAGTTTTAACAAAAGATTAAACAAAGTAATTATTTTATTGAAAAGCCAACTTGGCTGCACCCAAACCAGCTTTTATTTTCTTTTAAACTTGGCTAAATATAGCAAATATTTTGAAAGAAAGTGGCCCAAGGTCTGTTCTAATTCTTGAAAATAAATTTATTCGATCGAGCCCAAAAGAAATTTAAAACTATACGTCTTTCTTTAAGTACAGCAAAATTAAAGTAGTAGTAAGTAATAAATTTATGCCAAAAAGATTACATTTTGAGAATAATCTCTAAAAAAAAAAATCTTGGATTTCAGATGTCAAAAAATTTCTTTTGAATTTTTTTTATAGAATGGTGGAAATGTTCTTTTTTTTCTATCTACAATGACCCTAATACACAGTCGTAAAAATTGCTTTCACATTTTGAATCTATAATGAATTTTGGGCTACTTTTATTTGCCTGATTTTAGGTTGGGTTTTTTTTTTTTTTTTGTTGTTCAGCAACTACTTTTAAATCTACAACGTTGACCCACATGTCAAATAGTTTAGACACCCCACCCAGAATTATGCCACAAGCCACAGTTTCTCTGCAGTGTGCCAAGGGTTATTTATCCTTATCTTAGTGGGAGTGAGCTTTAGACCAACTGTGTACGGAGAAGAGAACCTTCTCTAAATTCTCACTCATTCACCTAGTTATCTGCAGAAGAATTGAAGTTAAATGTTGTACTATGAATCCAATCCAAGTAGGAAGTTTCAGATAAACTCTAAAGTGAATGTGGAAGTTCACTTCTGAGAGGAGCAAAAAAGATTCACCTTTAGCTTTCAAACACTTAAGAGTTTCTGTTTACATTTTATGTGTTATTGTTGTGAAGAAAAGAGGATCTCTGCAGTTATCTGTTTGGAATCTCATATGACTCTTATTTAAATTACTAAAAAAATAAAATGGGATCTGATGTGTTATTGCCGTTTAAACAAAACTTCATGCTCTCTCTTGGTTCAGCGTGCCAGTCAAGCCAAAGCTGAAACTCCTTGGAATGACTTGAATGTGAAAACTGCTAAAACGTGGGTGGCCTTTGCAGGGCTTAATGAAATTCTTCTTTGCAAATGTGCTTCCAACTGCGACTACTTTTCTTTTTCTTCTTCTTTTTGCTCTAACAGATTTACAGATTTGATTTCTGCAGCAGCAATGCACTCGTCTTTAATCAAACATTGATTTAAATCTTAAACAAATGATTAAATCAGGAGAGACTGGGCATCACAGACTACTGTTTTTGCCTCTCTTTTTTTTTTAAGATTGTGATTTTTTCTTTAAAGAACCACCGGCTGATTTTGAATTGTTGTTAATTTTACCTAAATGACAGTAGAAAATTGTGATTTAGTCATAAAATCCAAAAGTGGAGTTTTGTAAACCTTTTGAAAACGTTATCTTGCCAATTATAACCTAGATGTTCAGTATTTAATGTTTGTTCACTCTGTCTCCCAAAGATTGTATTCAAATGTCTTTTTGTTTTTGGCTTCTGAACAATACACTTATTAACCCAAACTGTGTTGTTTTATTGAAGTTTCGCTTGCCTTTGGCGGAGTCGCTGAAGAGAGGGAGGGGGACACGATGTCTAATCCAGGACAGGGAGAACTTTGAGTCATCACTTCTGCTCGTTGCTCACCAGCAAGCTGGCACACATACCTGTGCTGTTTATTTATAGTGGATAAACGGATAAGACCCATGTTTGTTTCCAAGGCGTGTCTTCCATCAATTAGTAATAAATGCTGTGGCGCAGTTTCACTCAGATAATGAGGCGGGATCAATATTAACAATGATGAGGGACTTTGCCAATAAACCGGTCAGAAACTGCTGCTGTGGTTTGGGTGTGTTAAGATACTGACAACTACAGCAGCCACCAGATTATTCCAAGTAGACATTTTTGTTACTGTTGTTAGCATGTTAGCATATTCAGGGCTGTGTTTAGAGATGCTGGACTTACCGGGAGTTCTTTAGCAGAGCCTGATCACAGTGACGCTGGTGAATAAAAGGTTAAAAAAAAGAACTTATTCCTCAGCACGTTATTGAGTAGGAATCATTTTCCATCACTGTTTTGGCGCCCCCTGTAGTGCAGCGCTCCTATGCCTTTCATAGTGCATACCCACTTTTTGCGCCACATAAGAAGTCATGAAAAAACTTTTGGTCTTAAACATGTTAATCACAAATCTTAAACCTGTCGTGGCAGGACAATTTAATCTCGTATATTCTCCCAAAGTTTTATGTCAGGGAAAAGTCTGAGTCACGCGCAGACATCTTCACCCTTGTGTGACACGAGACGGTTGCGCTACTGGTAACTAGCTGCTAATAGACACTTGCTAGGTGGCCTCTTTTTTTCTTTTTGTCTGTTATGGGTATGTACAAATTTATAGCAAGCTGCCTGAACAATGTTATGCGCATAAAAAAACCTACTTTTAAACTTGGCATTTGGAGATTAAGGCTGTAAAGAAACATACCGTCACATTCCTAAAAATAATGGCTCGAGTAAATGTTTTCGCCAAAAGTGTTTTGTTTTATTTTTTGCCTAAAAGATCTTGTGGGAATAAAAAGAGGTGGCGATTTTTTTTTTTCTTTTTTCCGCCCAAATTATTTTTGGTTTTTTTTTAAATGACGTAGGTCATCATTTTAGAAAGGAGACGACATACAGTGTGAGAAGCACAAAGCCTCGGGAGCCACAAACATTCAGAAATTTATCAATATATGCCATGCTTGATTGTAATACAGCAAGATCCTCCCACCATCTCCTATATTTATATTTTTGGGGGCTTCAATTTAATTCAAAGTGGGATTAAAGACATCTTAGGTCTTAAATTTGACTTGCTGATCCAGTGAGCAGAAAAATGTGACAGTCAGGGTTGAACTCCTGAGTGAAGCTATATGGCCAGGAGGAAGAAGTTTTTAAGCTCTGCTGTTTATCTTTATTGGTGTGGCAGCGAGATGCTATTTGCGCCTCCTTGGATTTACACAAGCAGAGTCCAAAGGCTGCACATAAATTCATTTTACCTCTGACCCTGGAAAATCTACGTCAAGGGTGTTTATGTAAACTATTAAAAAACAGAAGCATCGATGCTGATGTTGTGGCAGCTCTCTATACTAAAATTCATAGATTTAGCCTCAATATTTGGTTGCCTGTTTTCCGCTGGGTCAATCTAGAGCTGCTTTAAGCACGGTGTTCCAACAAAGGCAGTGTTTTCACAAAAGTTTATTTCAGGTTGAGGGAAAAGGTTTGACCAAACGCCACCCTGGGGACGAGGGCGGATTCAGAAAGAGGTCATTAAAGGGGAAGACAGCTGATCACCTCTCCAAGTTTCATTTCCTTTCCGTCAGAGCCAGTCCAAAGTCAAAGCACCATAAACCGTCCATCAGTCATAGAAGAGCTGTGTTTCCTCCTTCCTTATACTGAGTCGGCTGCTAAGCGAGCTCAAGCCAAGTCGGGAGGCTTAATGAGGATCACGGACTAAAGGATCCAGGGGTATACTTCCTAATTATTTTTGGTTTATGGTATATTTTTCTCTCTTACTTTTTTTTCCCTCTAAATATTTGACATTTTAACTCAGAACTCACAAGTGGACTTTGTTGAACACAATGAATTACGGTGACACAGCTCAAAGTTAAGAAACTTGTGGATTTCACATTTGGATTTATTTCAGGGAGCTGGAAAAACCTAATTCAAGATGCTGAGAAAGGTAAGACTGAAGGATCTCGTGTTTATACTTTATGTTTAAAAAGTTATATTATCAGAACTGGCTGTTATATCACCTCTGTGTCTATTCATAAAACCTAGCCATATAATAACCTATAGAATACCAGAAACTACACAAAGCCGTTGATGAGTTTGCCATTGTCACGGGCCGTTTTGTTTCCAGGGAGAATGGGTCTGGGTGGACTCAAAGATCGGGGTCCACATTGGAGCCCGGGTCAAAGAAACGCCATCTGGTCAGAGGCTACTGGTGGATGATGAGGGAAATGTACGTAACCTCTGATGACAAAATGGAGAAGAAGAAAAAAAACATCTCCATCTGGCACTGAGCGCGTTTTCTCTCAATGTTCCCTCAGGAGCGGAAACTGTCGCTGGAGGAGGAAGCCTCGCTCAAGATCATGCACCCGACATCTGTGGAGGGGGTGGATGACATGATCAAGCTCGGGGACATGACGGAGGCCGCCCTCCTCAGGAACCTGCTGCTCAGACACAAGCAGGGCTACATCTACGTGAGTCACACGCTCACTCAGGAAAACACCGTGGATGATTTTCCCTTTCGGTTCCAGAGAACACGCCATTTTACACACCAGTTTGTTCATGCAGTCATCTTTTAGAGGTTTCCACATAAAGACAAGTAGAATAATTGCCAGGGTAATGAAATTATATGAGTATTCGACTAGCTAAAATATTTTTATTGAGCCACCAGGCTGACATAGCACACTAGTTCCTCAAATGTCTTCCTTTGGAAATGCAATTTCTACCCAAAAATACGTTTAGTGGATCTTTTTAGAATAAAAGATGAGACCAAAATAAATAATAATTTTCCCCATCTTTTAATAAACACATACTCTACTTAAAGGAAAAATAAATCTGTAGAAAAAAAAAAAAAAACTATGTGGCTGCTATAACCTGGTTGTGTAAGTGTACGCCCTTTAGTACTCGGCCACAGCCAACAGCTAGCTATTAGAACATTGGGACAGCAATTGGGGCAGCTATTGTTGTGTACCACAACCTGGTACACAACAATAACAATAGCTAATAGATTACAAGCTGTTAGCTAACAACAGCTAATGACCTCTCTGCAATAGCTTTAGCTAAAGATAAGCAACTATGCAAATTTCCCAACAGAGTGTTTCACTTTATTCCTGGTTTATCAGATTTTCTACAACTGATGGCAGCTGTGAACTAAAAAGGACTGGATGCTGAAAACATTAAAACATATTCTGTTTTGAACTGTACAGAATATATCACATTGAAGGTGGGGGAAAAAAATGGAAGTAATCTCAACAAGGTTGTATCTCAGAGGTTTTCCAAACGAAAACCAGCTGAGCTCTGGATACTCAGCGTGAAGGAGTTTTATTTTTCTGCATTTATTCTATAGTTTCTATTCATTTTTACAATTTATATATTCATAAATAAGGAGCTTTTGATCCTTCTCTTCATACCAAATCATATTTTCTTCTGCTGACCACAGATCTTTTTGTTTTTGTTCTCCAGACCTTCATCGGTTCCGTTTTGGTGGCAGTGAATCCCTACCAGGACTTTCCAATATATTCACCTGAACAGGTAGGTTTGTGCCTCTTATCTCCATCCATCACACAACCTGCAGCCGTCTCCACCAATCACGTTCCCGGTGTGAACCTCCTGCCGTTCTGCAGGTGAATTTATATCACAGCCGGAAGCTCGGAGAACTCCCCCCGCACATCTTTGCCATCGCTGAGTCCTGCTACTTCAACATGAGGCGCAACCTCAGAAACCAGTGCTGCATCATCAGGTCAGAGACTGATGCGCATTGCCTTGGGTTACGCCGCGCTTGCTTTTTTATTCCTGTTCATCCATGTTCTCTGCTTTTCTTTCAGCGGGGAATCCGGAGCAGGGAAGACGGAGAGCACAAAACTGATCCTGCAGTACTTGGCGGCAGTCAGCGGGCAACTCTCCCAGCAATCGATCGAAAATCAGATCCTGCAGTCCAACCCGATTCTGGAAGGTATGGCAGCAGCACCTTTAGAGTGTTTTCACAGCTGACAGTCCGGTAGATCTGGTTCAATTGGGAAGCAGTGTTGGAACGTTTGTTACGTTTTCAGATGGTGCGGTTCACTTTCACACTGCACTGTGTCAAACGATACAAACTAGTTGAAGAACCTGTTTCCCTCCTCACCTGTGGATGCGCTGCACCAAGAACCGCTGAAGGAAACGACACAAAAACCTCAGAAGAAGACACTGAGTGCCAACTTCCTGCTTCAGAAAACGTTAACAAAAATGGAGTGGCATCAGATTTGAGCAGTTGTAGGATGGTTGCTAAAAGACCACAAGCTATCGCTGGACACAAGCGTTTGTTTTTGGTGTTATTTACCCAGAATGCCCTGCGTTGTTGGCTGCTGCCTGCTTTTAGAGCAGTCTCTGGTTCGCTCGGCGTTCACACATGCATTTGAATCACGCCTGAGTTCACTTCAATCAAACTGATGTGGACCGGAGTTTGCTTGTTTTAGGTTCCCGTCAGAATTGGATTGTGCGTTCACACCTCCACCAAACGAACCGGACTTTCTATTCAAACGAACTAGAGTTCTATTAAAGCGGACTAAACAAAGCTGGTGTGAATCCGTTCTTAGCTGCCCTTAGGCTCGTGTGAACAAAAAAAAGCAGTCGTGGATTTTTATTTTGTTTTTTTAAAAACACCATGGTTTCCTGTTCCTTTCAGCTTTTGGGAACGCCAAGACAATCCGCAACGACAACTCCAGCCGCTTCGGCAAGTACTTGGAGATCTTCTTCAACCAAGACGGGGTGATCGAAGGCGCTCGTGTGGAGCAATACCTCCTGGAAAAGTCCCGAGTGTGCCATCAGGTGAGGTAGCTCCGTCCAAACAGATCCTGCCTGTCTGTTATCTCTGTGGTGGGCAGGTCGGTGCTGTAAACTCATAAAATCCCCCGGAGGATATCTCTGGAGTGTGTTGTTGGTGTTTCATTGTGCTTGGTGAGATTATTCAATAACTGTTATGAGGAGGAAAAACATGATATTAATCATAATCCACTCTAACAGAAAAGCTCGAGCATATTTGGTTTGCTCTTCTGTCGCCATAAACTTTTATTTTTCTCACCGTCTCAGGCCTCACAGGAGCGAAACTACCATATATTTTACTGCCTGTTGGCAGGAATCAGCACTGAAGAGAGGAAGTCTTTGAGGCTTGATCGTTCCAAGGAATATAACTACATTACCAAGGTACTCCGAATAATAGTCACACTACATTCTGGGAAACGGACGCACCCCTCACGACATTGACATCCACCAGTTGCCCGCAACCGAAGTCTCTTGTGTCCTTTAGGGCAACTGCATGGTGTGCGAAGGCAGAGACGATGCTAAAGACTTCAACTTCATCCGCTCGGCCATGAAGACGCTGAACTTCTCAGAAGACCAGTTCCAGGAAATCCTCAAGCTGCTGGCGGCCATGTTACACCTCGGAAACGTCAGCTTCAAGGGTGAGCGCCGCTAGTGGTGGCTTCACGCAGTCCTACTTTACCGCAAAATTCACAACATCACGGCTGAAGCTGGAACTCTGTTTTTAAGGAAGCAGAAATGGAATTAATTAACACTAAGAATATCACGAATACAAATGACTGGAAACTTGAAGTGCTTTTTAATGTTACTCACATCTTATTATATTTGTAAAGCAGGTTTCAGCAACAAAACAGCTCAAAGTGCTTTACACCATAGAAACATCGTACAGAAACCAGAAACAAGCACTAAACATTACATCTGAATCATCAAGCAAAGATACATCACACATACCGATCAATGTTCCAGTTATTATTAATCAAAGGTGGCTCTAAAATGGGTTTTTAGCCTGGATTTAAAGAAACTTTAAGTGTTTCAGAATCTTTGCAGTTTTCTGGAAGTTTCTTCCAGATTTGTGGTGCAGCTCTTGAACTTTTTCACGGTTGCAACGAAATTTTATGCGTTCTGTTGTTTTTTTTTTTATTTTTTTATCAGATAGTCTAACATAAAGTTGTGGAAGGGAAATGGTTATTTGATTTATTTCAATTAAAAAAAAGGAAAATGTGGCTTGGGTTTGTATTTAGCTTTACTTCTCTACTGGAAAGTTTCTACCGACATAAAAACTCTAAAATCGTATTCAAATTGGAAGGGGAGCATTTGTGAAAAGCATTTTTGAAGATTCTCAGTTAGATTTAGGTCTGGACTTTGACTATACCATTCTATTTTTATTTTTAAATGTGTCTTGTCCGGCGGTACTGTTTACCTCTTCAATATTATTGTCTTCAATATTATTTTATAATTATTTTTACCTTATTAAAGAGGTAAAAACAATAACTATCTTAAGAAATAAATCTTTTCAGTTTTGATAAAAATAAACAGATACTGCGACAGACTGGCGACCTGTCCAGGGTGACCCCGCCTCTCGCCTGGAACGTTAGCTGGAGATAGGCACCGGCACCCCTCCCGACCCCAATAAGGGACAAGGGTGTAAAGAAAATGGATGGATGGATAAACAGATAAATAAATGCGGCCCTCCAATTCTCTCAACTTAACAATTTTGGCACAAAAGGCAAAAACTGTGATCTACACTGATTTAAGAGTTTCACAGTAAAGGGGTTGGACAAACACTCTCCTCACTTTCCTAGGCTGATAGGGGTCAAAGGTTAAATCTCCTAACCATACACTGAAGTTTCTAGTTGCACCATCGTTATAATAACAATAAAATAAATAATTACATTCTTTCAGCTCTTAAAACGGGGTGAATGGAGTCTGCGGTGCAGCACCGCGCAGGTTTACCTCTTGGTTTCTTTAGACACAGATAAGGAGACGAGCTTGAAAACAGAAAATCCTCCATTAGGAGCAATAAAAACATAATTTTACTGGCCCCTACAGATTGTGACACAGTAAAGTTACACCCTCACACCGTATCTGGAATGAGCTGTAAGCTTTAAAACGGAACCAAGCTGAAATGTTTTATAGAATTAAATTCACTTCATGACTATTTATCATTTAGTAAAATAACAATACACACTTTTAAAATTCGTGGTGGTTCAAGTTCATGCCATTGTAGTCATTTGTGTGTTTTTTTGTTTTGTTTTTTGTTGCATGCGACCAGGCTCCGTCATCCAGAACCTGGAAATCAGTGACGTGGGCGAGTCGGAGAACTTCACCATCGCCTCGTCGCTGCTGCAGGTAGGCGGCCGGGCCACCGGCGTCCACACGTCCTCATAGCTGTAAATACGCCGCCGCTCCTGGTTGGATTTTAACATGCGCTCGCCCGACAGGTGCAAAGGTCCGTCCTGGCCGACAGTCTGACGCATCGCTCCTTTATGACCAACAGAGAGCGAGTCACTAAGGCCCTCAGCGCCGAGCAGGCCACCGACTGCAGGGACGCCTTCGTGAAGGTACCAAAGTTTAGCCACGGACTATAAATCACAGCCGTCTGTTTCCTTATTGAGCCCTAAATCAGGACAACAATGGCACAACTGTGTTATGGTCCATCGTATAAGCAAAGGGAGCCAGTTAAATCTGTCTTAGAGCACCAACTGCCTTGACGGAAAGAGCTACTCAGTGAAATGTAAAAAAAATTATATCTTTATAACTTCTTTGCATTTTTTTAAGGTGACTGCATGGCTGTGGCTGCATGACGGAGCAGTTACAGCCCCATAAACACCAATATTGCCTTGAATGACACATCAGCTTCTTCGTAAAACTGTTTACATAAAGAAGTGTGATTTTATCACTAAGCTGGAAGTGAATAAAGTGGATCGGTGCGTCACTAAAAACGTCTTTTATTTATTCTGTGATTTTTTTTTCTCACAGGCAATCTACAACAAACTCTTCATATGGATCGTTGGAAAAATCAACAGTGTCATCTATGAGAAACTGTCCGACAAACCCAGTTCTTCGCTCCTGTCCATCGGCCTGCTCGACATCTTCGGCTTTGAGAACTTCCAAACAAACAGGTCGAAAGATTTTTCCGCTTGCTATTGAATTTTACAAACTTCGCTACGGTTACAGTATATCTTATAAGTGTTTTTTTTTTTGTTTTTTTTTCTTTTACCAGTTTCGAGCAGCTTTGCATCAACTTCGCTAACGAGAAGCTGCAACAGTTCTTCGTGGCCCACATCTTCAAGCTGGAGCAGAAAGAGTACCAGAAAGAGGGCGTGCTGTGGAACAACATCCAGTTCACCGACAACCAGAAAGTCCTGGAACTTCTGGCCGGGAAGCGGTGCAACGTGCTCGCTCTGATCGACGAAGAGAGCCACTTTCCGCAGGTACGCCGAGCGGGCCTTGGGTCTACACTTCTTAAATGATTAAGAAAACCACTTCTCAGTTTTCACTCTGCTTATGCCGCAGGGGACAGACTCCACCCTGCTGACCAAGTTGAACAAAGAACACCAAGGAGACAAGGACTACATCGGTTCCAAGCGCGAACACGAAACAGACTTTGGAATTCGCCACTTCGCCGGCCCCGTTTACTACAACACCAACGGTAACGCAAACCGCTAAGCAAAAATAAATAAATTAATAAATCGTGATGCTGGACTTCTCGGAATAAGAAGATGATATTTTTATTAATGTTTTCCTCCCTCTGTAGGATTTCTGGAAAAAAACAGAGACGGAGTCAGTTATGACATCATTAAAACGATCGGCGTCTCCACCAATAAGCTCCTCCGGGAGATCTTTGAGAAGGACATGCCAACCAACGGACTGAAGGCAGCTAAAAACGCAAAGTTCATCTTGTCGCCGCAGAACTCACCACGGGTAGGAAGCCATGTCTTCCTTTCAGCTTCATACCTGATATCAACAGATATCAGTAACACCACAACTGTTGTTTTCTATTTATTTTACACAATTAAATACAAAAAACTCCCAAAATAAACCAGGAAATTGCATTAATAGAATTAAATTAATTTAACAGTAAGTAATATTATCACATACAACCTGCATATATTAAGAGATTTAAATCTCTGCTTAAGGTCCTATTTGTAAATATCGGAAATCAGATCAAAATCTGCCAGATTCGTCAACCCCTAATGTTCCTCGACTTCTCATTTATCTTCCCCAAGTTACTTTGTTTCCACAGATACTGGCGTCCTAAGCTTTCCTTTTGTTGTCTCCGCAGCTGCAGAACGACAAACGCAAGCAAATGCCGACGCTGAGCGGTCAGTTCCGAGTGTCTCTGGACTCCCTGATGAAGGCCCTGTCCGTCTGCCAGCCCTTCTTCATCCGCTGCTTCAAACCCAACAACGACAAGCAGTCCAAGGTGAGCGACCGTCCGCCGCCACGGCACAGATAACGCACGGCAAACACACGGATGGTCTTCAGTGTGGATAAACGGAGCTCTGTGTGCATGGGATAAAACAGACTGTTTAAGTATATCCTAGTGTCATGGTTCTAAATCTTTGGGTACAAATCCCACTGGTGCCGCCCTGATCATTTATCAGCGAGGTTGTGCGATTGTTACAACTATAATCCTTCAATCAAAAGAGGAAGAAATGAAAACTTTATTGCCTGCCATGCGTTTTCTGCTGAAAGTTCTGATCTGTCGCATCTCTTTGACACTTTGGATTTCATTTTCATTACCTCTCTCATTCTGAAACTACAGCTTCCATCGAGTCTTTGCTCAGTCACAGCTTTCACTCTGAAGAGTGTCGGTGAAGCGACACGGTGCCACGTCACGTTTCCTCAAATCTGTCTGATTTCAGACAAGGCACCAATTTCTTGGTGCTTCAAAAACAGAAAATATACACGAATCTTCACTCACTCCGTTTCCCTTGCAGAAATTTGACCGGGAGCTGTGCATGCGCCAGCTGAGGTACTCCGGCATGATGGACACCATCCGCATCAGGAAGCTTGGGTATCCCGTGCGTCACAAATTTGAGGACTTCCTGAGCCGCTACCGAGTCCTGCTGAAGACCACCGTCTGCGATCCCAAAACCGTTGAGTCGCCTTTTTTATTCCTGGACTTTGAACAATTTTTCTCCCAAAACGGTTTCATATGGGCGTTAGGAACTGTGGATGTGAATATGTAACATAAAATCGCTTGACTCTCCCCACAGACCGACGCCTCAGTCTGTTGTGAAGCCATCTGCAAGGCTGTAATCAAAGGAAGGGACGAGTGGAAAATTGGAAAGAAGAAAATCTTTCTAAAGGTATGAAAAGAATAAGATTAAAATCTGGTGTACAGTTTATGAATCAGTCAAATCACTGCAGTTTTTTCTATCTGTTTATTGCCAAATTACATCATTCAGTTCCTCCAGTGTTTCAGTGTCAACACAGATCCCCGCATTTTTTCGCATGTAACTGTGATTTATTGAAAGTCTTTCACAAAAATGGTCAGAAACAATTTTCCAGCCATTTTGCAGAACAATCAAAACGACTGATTGTTCTGCAAAATCAGCCACACAACTGAAGTAATGATGTTATCTTCAGTTGTTATAAAAATTCTATATTGATGAAATATGACCTAAAGGAAATTTGACTTTGTAATTCAACACCTTCAAATTTAGTCTCTGTCTCTTTAAGAAGCTTCTGCTCTTTCCGAAACGTTGCCTTTCAGGAAGTCATCACAACATGGCTCCTCTATTAACCATTTAATGTTTTTACCAGTGTTGCACTGGGAAGTAGCTCGTATAAAGAGCAGATGTGGAGTTTTACCAGGTGTTTGCTATTTGCTATGAGAGGAGGAGCTGCTCTGTAAGGCAGAAACTCAGAAACTGCAGCTCTGAGGAGGAGCTGAATGGTTGCCATAGAGATTAAAGTATTTCTCAAACATGCATTTAAGAATAAAAGCAAATACGCCAGGCCCGTTTTTGATGATGGAAAAACATAATCTTTTTTGATGTAAATATATAATACTGCCCCTTTAAGTGATTGCTAACTCCCACCTTCAGGGGGCAGTATGTCTTACTTTTACGACACTGCTGCCTCAAGTCACCATCTGTAATCAAGTGGAAAGTAGGAAAAAGTCACATTTACAATCATGTAAGCGCAGATATTGGAAAATTCAAAAAAAAATATTGCAAAAAATAAAAATAAAAATCATCATTAAAAAAAAAGTGAAATCCCAGAGGGACTGATCAATGTGAAAAGACGATCAATAATAGTTCATTTTAAAAAGACTTCAATTAAAAGAAAGTAAAAGTTTGACAGTTTGTGAATGGGTTCACTTTGATTTTCCCTAAAATGAAAATGATTTTGAAACCCTTTGCTCTGTCTGATTATGTCAGTTTTGAAACTTTGTTATCTGAATCAGAATCATCTGAATTAAATCATTAGTTTTTTGCTGTTTTTTTCCCAGGATGCCCACGACGCTGTTCTGGAAAATCTCCGGGAAGCAGAACTGAGCAGGGTGGCCGTGGTGATCCAGAGGGTTATGCTGGGAATCAAAGACAGGTGCAGCAAGAAGAGCTGAAATCTTAAACCGAAATGTGAACAGCCCAATTAAATTTATCTCCCTCCCTCCCCTTTCCTCTCTCCACCCGCAATAACTGATAGGAATATCACTGCAGCACATCTACAGATAGTGATTTACTGCCATCTATATTGCCTGGATAAGCGAGATGTTGCATAAGAACACGTGAAGAGATGCTGATCATGAGAAATGTTTATTCAACGAATCGAATCTGCTTTTTCAGAAAGCTCTTCCTGAGGAAACGGGGCGCGGCCGTGGTGCTTCAGAAGCAATGGAGAGCTTACAGAGAGAGGGTGGTGCAGAAGAAGGTGTGATGGTTTCTAGCTTCCAGTTGGCCTTTGGAGTGTGGACCTTACTCATTGAAGCTGAGATCGACCTATTTTTGCTAACTTTTTTTTGTTCTGTTTTGTTTTTTTCAGATCCAGCAGGGTTTCGGGCGCCTGGTGTCAAAGGTCCGCGGTCGGAAGCTGAAGTCTCAGTTCCAGAGACGGCGAGCGGCTGCCGTCGTCATCCAGAGCCAGGCATGTGCTCCGAATACCGAGTGACCACGAGAAAACAAAAGCTCACCCAGGCCTGTAACTATGACAAATTTTCCTGGACGATAAATTGTCCGAGAAGTTTTCGCCATAAGCAACAATTTTCAAGTAATCTAATGCTAGTGACATAATAATAACAACGCAAGAACCCGTTCTCAAAAATCAGTCAACTTGAAATTTAATGAACAATCTTGTTGGCACTGGGAACTGGAAGACATTTTAAATACCCAAAATAATAATAATAACAAAACAAAACTACAGGAACAACAAATAAAATTAATTATAAAGTTTCTGTAAACAAAGTTGCCCTTCAAAAAAGGGGCCTAGCTGATCATCATGCAAATGGAATTTATTGAGCTTGTTTCAATTCAATACAATGAATTAATTTATTCATTGCTAATCGCGACAAGCCTAAGTGCACCCTCTACCAAATATGGAGCTTTACAGATCAGGACAAAAGTGGATAAATAAGATTAAAAAGGTTCTAAAACCCATTGAACTCTACCCTCAGGTGTCCAAAAACACGAAGCAGACGACACACTGTCACTATTTATAAAGCCAGACACGACTTTATCAGCCTCACACAACTGTGGAGGGATTTCGTCCCACCCTCCCCACTCAACGCTTCAGTCCATTGAGTCTTGGAGACATTTATTTAAAGCTCAGGCCAGGCTGAAGTCTGGATACCGACTGGTGACGTTAGTAAACCTTCATTCAAGTCTTCCTCTCATAGATTTGCCGCTGTGTTTGGGATCGCTGTGCTGTTGGAACTAAACAACTTCTCGACTGTTTCTGAAATGCGTCGACATGCTAAAGCCAATCGATTTGCTGCAAAGAGCCGAGGGCCTTTCCCACCACTGTGCTCGACGGTTTGCCAGTGTTTGCTTGTGCCGACATGTTGCGTTTGGCTTTCTTCAGACTTGGCCCTCTGGATCTGCTCTTATCTGTTCAAAGCACATTGCGTCCAGAAGTTCTGCAGTTCATTTAGATGCAACTTCGCAAACCTTTAAGTCAGTGTTTCTCAAACTTTTTCCAGGGTGAGGACCACTTCACCCGTTTAACAAACCTAACTTGAAGTTGGCACACAACTACACAATCTGAAATGAAAATATTAGTGTCTTAACTCCCTTATTGTTGTTCATCCTGTTAAACTTGAGTTGCTTTGGCAGAAACAAAAAGATCTTCTTCTGCACCACTAAATACAAAAGTTATCCATCCATTTCTATCAATTGTATTTATTTACCAATGAAATATTTTGAATAAATAAATAAATAAATAGTTGTTGAAGTGCAAGCAAAGCTTTACAAGCAGGCCTGCCACGATAACAAATTTAGCTGAGCAATCAATTGTCTCAAAAATTATTGCGATAAACAATAATATTGTTTGAAGACTCATTTAGATAGAGAAGATTGATTTATCTGACTACCTGATGCAACAGTCACTCCTCCCTTACACTACGGAAATGAGGAAAGGAGGGTCAGTGGAGTTGAGCCTTTTTTCATTCAGTGTCAATAGAAAAACAAAAAGACAGGAAGAAACGATAAAGCCGACAAATTAAAATGAGATCTATCATTTTAATTTATTGTGCGATTTATTGCTTTGTTGTTTATCGCGACAGGCCTAACACAAGCACGCAGAGTAGTAAAAAACAAATAACATTTCTCACTAATTGAGACCAGCAAAGAGCCGTTAAAAAGAATCGAATCGCTCGTGAACGACACATCAAAGCCCTCAGCAGGTTTAACTTGGCTTCCTCCTATCATATGAATAATCCTGTCGTTTTCTTTCTGATGGTCCTTTGAAAACATAGTGTGTTCCTCTTTATCTTATTCATATTTAAATATTCTATGGTGGATTTCACCCTTCAAATATTTTAACTGCAATTTCTTGTGATGAACTGACCGTAGGTGCGAGGCTACCGGGCGAGGAAAGACTACCGGCAGAAGAGAGAAGAAATCGCCCATCAGGCTATGCTCTTAGAAATGGAGAGGCAGGAGGAAGAGGATCTCAGTGAGGAACTCCATCAGCGGCTGATGCAAGTCGCTGAAGAGCAGGCCGACATAGAATCACAAAAATCTGGCCGATCTCACGAATCGAAGAAATCAAGTGAATCTGAGAAATCTAGTGAAGCGGAGAAATCTAGTGAAGCGGAAAGCTCCAGTGACTCTGAATTGGAGGACGGCTCAAATAAAAACCTCCGACTCTTTGATGAAGACGCAGAAGACAAAAGATCAGACAATGAGGTCAGGCGACTACTCTGTTGTGTTACGGGGATCCACCACTGCTTTATTAGTTGTCCATAACATTTCCTTTGACCGTCTGTTTCCTCTGAGTAGGACGAGGACAAGGAAAGCCTTCACAGCTCGAAGGAGATGACGGTCGTCGTCACGCCGGCCTCTAACTCGGCGAGCTCCACGCCGTCGCTGGACGAGGAGGAAGAGGAAGAGATTGATGACGGCTTTGACGACGAGACCGATATATTCTCCTTTTACAACTTCAGCAAGCGCCACTTCCAGAAAGACGAGGACCATAAGTACACCGCACAGAGGCTGAAGCAGCCGCTGCTGCACCACGAGGACGAAGCAGACGCCCTGGTGAGACGAGGCGGTAGTATTAATATCTCGGGGTGTTTTCGCACCAACCATGTTAACTGAACTCTAGTTCGTTTGTCTAGAACGTATCGAACTCTTGTCCACCTACAAACCCAGGTCTAGGTTTGGTTGAGGTGAACTCCGGCGCGGTTTGAATGCATATGTGAACGTCAAGCAGACTGGACACTACTCCAAAAGCAGGAAGCAGACAATAGTGCTAGGCATTGTGGGTAAATAGAACCAAAACAAGCATGAGAGTCTAGCTGGGAAACAGCTAATAGTCTTCTATCAACCACAAACGAGAAATCCTACAGCCGCTAAAATACTCCACTTTTTTGTACATTTTGCAAAGAAGGAAGCTCTGTTCATGCTTTCTTCTAAGGTTTTCCTCGTTTCATTCAGTGGTTCTTGGTGCAGCGCCCCCACAGGCGAGGAGGGTAACAGGGTTTCCAAAGGGTTTAATCTGTTTGACAATGTAGTGTGAAACCGTAGCAAACGTTGCAACTTTGCTCCCCAATCCAACCGAGTCTACTGGACGTCTGCCTCACACTCAGTGTTCTCCCTCCGCCAGGCGTCTCTGACCGTGTCCTGGATCATCATGCGGTTCATGGGCGACATACCGGAGCAGAAATCTACAGACACCCTATCTCAGCATTCCAGCACCATGTCCCAGAGCACCCTGTCCCGCCTGCTGCCAGGCAGGCAAGGCCGGAGGCTGAGCAACCTGGTGGGGCTGGATCAGGTAAGCTCCTGAGAAACAAGAAATAAGAAAAATAAATAAAAACATTTTCTTTTATCAGTGGTCGTTATTTCATCTTTATCCACACATTTCTGAACAGAAAATCCTGAGGAAGAACAAGAAAAAGTTTGGCGCTGGGAACAGAAAAGCCTCAGCCATCCTGGAGGAGGTTTGAACCATATTTGTCTCTCTTCCAGTTGGTTCTTATTCTCGGTATTATTTGCGTTTATAACTTCTCTGTTTTGTTTCCTCATATTTCTCAGCCAGAGAACCTGACCGAGGACGAGGACATTCTGGTGGGAGAGAGCACGACGCTGTATCGGCAGCTCACGCAGCTGGAAAAGCTGCACATTATCGTTGGATATGGCATGTCACGGCAAGGCATAAGGTAAAATGTGAACGCAGCTGGTGAAACATTATGTTTTGGTGGAGAGTAGCGGTAGTTTTTTTTTTTTTTTTTTAAAAATATATATATATATATATATATATTTTTTTTTTTTTTTGCCTTTTCTTTACATTTTTAGGTGAGAGATATACTCTCAGATCTGAAAACAGAGGGAA